AGCACAAGGGGAGAAGAGTTATAATGTCAGCAGACTGACTCAGTAATGTCAGTTACACAGCAGAATCTGTCTTTTCATTTTGCCAAAATGTACTAACATTAGCCACCCTAGCAGTAAAACCTTTGAGTGCACTGAAATGAGTGAGGTTATGTTTTATTCCTTATTGATTTGATTTGTTAAAAGAGGAAGATTGTGTTATGTCTGTTTATAAAAGTTACATCGTCTCACTTTAATTCACACCTGGTTATTTTGGCTATTCTTGATTCAGCAGTTTAATCTCCTTCTCTTTATCTCTCCTGTTTTCTGAATCTGTAGCTGGTAGCGGCACCTTTCGAGGTGTGGCGTCAGGTACTAATGACCACTCCCCTGTTTTGGTGACTCTGAGCCGGCTGCTACATCAGAAGAGCAGGGTGTTTTCTCAGGGTGGAGCCAGAGGGCGGAGTTGGAGCGGACGTGTCAATGTTCCTGCACGGTGCGGGTTGCATGCTGGAGGGGATGAGTACCTTTTGACTGGCTCCATACATTTTGGTGAAGCCTGGCTTGGCTGCGCGCCTCGCTACAGGGACTTCCTGAAACTGTACATCAGCGCACAAGAGGCAGGAACAAACCCCTGTCGAGTAGACACAGACTGAGAGATCTCTTCATGGCTGAAGTGCTTCTCAAAAAGAGGAACAGGCTGAAATTTGGAGGACAGAGCAACATTATTTTTGAGTCTGTCAGAGAGATAAGCAGGGTACAGCCCCTGGACTTCTGCAGGCTCTCTTCTGTGCGGTGCAAATATTATTTCTGCTTTGCAGCAGAAAAGACTTATAGTAGCCAGTGTGCTACCTAAAATGAAATGTACTCATTTGACTGTACCTGTATATTGTGTGTGTATAAATGTGTTTGCACGCAAGTAAGGCAGCCAATGAATGAATGAGGAGCTTAAATTAAATACATGCCTAACTGAGTAAAGTTTTTATTCTCATGATGATACTGCTTGTGTGATCATTCTCGTAATGAATGTCTGCTTTGTAAAAAGCTTTTTGTAAAATGTAGGAGTCTTCTGACAGAAGTGTACAGTATGCAGCTCTGTGAGTCTTTACCAAGAATGTGTGTTCTGCTGATGAGTTCAAAGGGTCTTTATATTTACAGAAAATAAAAAGCAATTTTTCAGCCTGCTTTCCTGTTCAATTTTCATGTGATTTATTGATGTAATTCCCAGTTTGTTTGTGAACGTGCCAGTATAACCTGTGTCCTGATATACCTAGAGGGACCCTGTGTTCTGTTTTACTAACAAACCTGTCCTTATGTGTCATGTTCTGTAAGGCACACTGGGGTTCGGTGTGTCTGGGGTACAGATAATTAAAGAGAACAGGCAAGTGAAGCTAAAAGTAGGACCAAAAAAATTGAAAAACTAAAAGTTATTAGTCTTTCTACTGGGACTAAATGTAAACAAAGAGGTATTATCCACATAACTGGAAATTAAAAAGAACAATTCTGAGGGTTCATTGACTGTGAGCTGGAAGGAGAGCAGCAGTGATGGTGCTGGCTTCACTACTCCTGTTTAGATTAGATGAGCCACTGTTTTGGTTGGCATCCTCTTTCCTTCTGTGTGTGTGTGTGTGTGTGTGTGTGTGTGTGCATTAAGTACAAAGTAAAAGAAGGAGAAGCAATTATACTTTCCACATAACCAACTAGGTTCAGTTCAGTAGCTAATGCAAAGGTTTTTTTTTTAAATCCTTTGAGTTTTATGAAACCTGACTCCTGCAGCCTGAATTATTATTTAAGCTTAAACTCTGTCCAAACAGAAAATGACTGAAGTTCTAGAACATACTGTACATAATGCAGTAGGAGTTTAGAATGATAGCACAGAAACCCGCCTGTCCAGGTGGAAACTGTCAGATGACCAGAATCACTAGTAGGGTTTGATGGATGTTGTTCTGAAAGAAGAGGCAGATGTGTGAATGACCTTAGAGTGGTATATGTACACCTCTCCCTCCGCCTGCTGTCAATAGTTGTGTGTGAGTGTAATGATGACCCTCTTTCCTCAGGAAGAACAAGAATGGATGGAATGCCCCCCACCCCCAACACACACACACACACACACACACACACTCATTGCTGTGTTACAGAATGAAATTACCCTCTTTCTTCATGACAAGCTTTATTTTGAGCATTTTCTCTTTGCACTGATGCCACCACTAGAGAACAGGGAGTGAGACACACACCACCAAACACTTGTCTAGCAATCTATATTGCACTTCCATAAATCTGGGGCGTGCTCACAAGAAATTTATGGTTAAAACTGAAGCAGAAGAGGTGGTGTCTTCTGACCTTTAGTCCCTTGGATGAACCAACCAACACAAACATTTGACCATTCATTTCCCATTATACAAGCCACTTGTATGTTTTGTTGGACTTTCTCTGACTGGTGAACATCCAACATCTTTCTAACTTCTTGCCTCCAGTTTATATCATAAGCTTTTTAGAAATAAATTGTTTTCATAGTTGTAATATTTCCCTTGGTGATGTAAAATGACTTTCATACACAAGTACAGCTTGAATTCAGATGAATATTGAGAAAGAAATAAAGGAGACATATGCAGCACATAACTTGAAGGTTTAAAGTAAACCATAAGCACATTACATTAGATAACCTATATAAAACACCCCCCACCCTGACTCATATACACTAAAGGATGTGTGTATGTGTGTTTTTCTTGAGTTGTAGTTTGAGATGACCACAGCACACGCGTCCTGCACACTGACGACATGCAAACGCACCACGCTGCTGAAACCAAAACCACCACAGCAACACCCAATCCCCCCTGGCAACCCACCCTGGCAACAGCCCAGCTTGCCTTGGTGTCCTCACTAATTCGGGAAACACTTATCCCTCAGCAGAGTGGTTTTAATGTTAACCTTTCGGTATGAGGGTGTGAGATATGGAAACAGTTTGTGCTGGACTATGTGAGAGGCACAGCTGAGCGGTCAGCTGGAGTCTAGAGAATGGCTGAGCTCAGGGAAATTATGCACACATGCTTTCACCCACATATACTGGCATTTTATAATGCAAGAGCCAGGGTGGGGTTGGTAGTCTTAAATGGTGGTACAGTATTTAAGGCTGTAAGTATGTCTATTTCCACAGGGAGTATAAAACCCATGACATTTGATGACGCTGTCTTCATAGAGACTGATACACTTAAGGATGTTCGCAGGCTAAGGCTATGTTCACATCACCAGCTGAAGTGGCTCAAGTCCAATTTTTCCCCTCCAAGTGATTCCAATCAGATTTGTTTCACATAAGTGTGAATAAATCTAATCTGACTTATTTATTTTATTTATTTGCATATCAGATCTGGCCCACTTACTTCATATCCACTCTTTGACCTTATGTCAGAACAGTCATACAGTCATCTTTTTTTTTTAGTACCTCATTCCTCACAAGGCCAGTTATGTCAGGTTTGCCCGGCTGCACCTACTTTCTCACTCCCCTCTCTCTGTTTTCACTCCCTTACCCTGATTACGTTATCCCTTACACCTGCTTCTTACCCCCGGATTACCACCAGCTGCACCTGATTAGTTTCTCCCTATTTAGTCCCTGCTCTTCG